CCTCGCCCCCACCTGGCCCCGGCATCCCCGCCCTGGGAGCACTCTGTTCTTGAGGCCCCCCACGCGACGATTTCTCTCCCGAAGCCCACCCATGCCTTTCTCCTCGCCTCCACCTGGCCCCGGCATCCCCACCCTGGAGGAGCTCTGTTCTTGGCCCCCCCCCACCTAGATGGGCGGCGGCACTGCTAGATGATCCGCGAGCCTACGAGTGCCTGCGAGGACGTAGAATAAGATGTGAACATAGATGCATCTTAAGATAACAACATCATGCATCTTAAGATGTATCAAGTTAACAACATCACTCGTCGTAAGATTCAGCATGCCTCTATCTAAGTTCGAGCTCAGATCTGGGAAGATACACTATGATAAAATATCGCAGGAATGCAACCGCGAATGTTCATGTCGCTTAGCAAGCAATGCGTTCCTAAGATTCCAAAGGCAATATTTTTACGGATAATGCCATCCCAAATGACAAACGCGCGGTTTTCCAACGTTGCTGCGGCGCGTGGAACCGACGAACAATATTACAGAATCAACGGCAAATGCGCCCGCGCGCAGAACATTAAACCGAGCGCGCCGAACATCAACGCAGCAGTGGTCGCGAAAAACAATCCACGCGCCTGCGGACGCACCAAACATCAAATACGCATGCCCGCAAAACGCGATCGTCGCGAAGCGTCATTCGCAGTCAAAAAAACGCACGCACACGGCTCAGATTGACGCCGCAATCGCGACGCCCGCGCGCCCGCGCCGAAATTCGGCTCCTGAATTCCAAAAATCAGCTTCCTGAATTAACGCGGCCGTGATGCGCCGCCCCCGCGCAGCACTGAAATGTGTCGCGCTAGATCCCGTTGCGCCGCGTAGCTGACGTTCGCGCCGCGATGTCTGTACGTGGGCGCACGCCCATGCGAAAGTGCCTGCGCGCGCACGTGTAAATCTGCATCATTGCATAAGGGCTCCAGCATGTGCGTTGAGCGCACGAGCGTGCGCGCCCGAGCGCGTGCGCGCGCGCGGGCGCGCGCGTTGTGCGCGCGGCGCGTGCTGCGGACAAGACGTCGCGCATCGCGTTGCACGCTGTCCTCGCTGCGCGCGATGCTTGTGCAGCGCGACACGGCGCGAGCATTTTGTGACGTGCTTTGCGCGCGATGCGCGTTGCGTGATCAAGCTGATGCGAGGGCCGCGCCGACGCCTTCGTAGGCCGCCCGAAAAGTTTCGGGGGCTTCGGGGCAGAGGGGAAACGGACGCGGGGGGCTTTGCGGCGAGCCATGGGCGCGCCCAAAGGACATGGCACCCGCAATGCGCGCGCTATCACCTGGGCTTTGGTCGGATCTCCCCATGCGCCGAAATCGTGGAACGCGCGGGCGCGCCCGTTGTGCGCGCGGCGCGTGCTGCGGACAGGGCGGCGCGCGTCGCGTTGCACGCTGTCCGCGCAACGCGCGATGTTTGTGCAACGCGACACGGCGGGAGCATTTTGTGACGTGCTTTGCGCGCGATGCGCGTCGCGTGATCAAGCCGCCCCGAGGGCCGCGCCGACGCCTTCGTAGGCCGCCCGAAAGGTTTCGGGAGCTCTGGGGCAGAGTGAAACCGACGCGGGCGGCCTTGCGGCGAGCAATGGGCGCGCCGAAAAGACATGGGACGCGCAATGCGCGCACTGCCACCTAGGCTTTCGTCGGAGCTCCCTAGCGCCGAAATCGTGGAACGCGTGCACTCGCGGCCGCCATTGCAATCGCCGCCAAGACAAATTCTATAGGATTCCCCAGTGTTAGGAATTATATTCTAACACTTAACACAATAATTTATGTTGTTATTCTCCACGCAAGAAATCTTGTTGTAATCCGCAACAGAAGGAATCCTTTTGTAACCGCCCGCAAAAGGAACCCTGTTGCAATCCTCCACAAAAAGATACCCGATGGTAATTCTTCATGAACGGAATTCTATCGTAATGCGCCGCAAAGGAAATCCTTTTGTGGCGGCCAGGAAAAAAAGGGTGGGCCAGAGAAAAAGGAAGAAATAGTAATAATAAAAATAATACGAATAATGCAGCAAACGATAAGCACGCCGCAAAAGAAATCGCATTGAAACCGTCCAAAAGAAATCATATTGCAATCCACCGCAGAAGTAATCCTTTGTAATCGCCCACAACAGGAATCCCATTGAGATCATCCACAAAAGGAACCCGATTGTAAGTCTCCACAAACGGGGTTCTAGTGTAATGCGCCGCAAGGGATATCCTTTCGCGGCGGCCAGTAAGCAAGTAGGGGGCCCGAGAAAAAAATGAAGAAGAAATTGAAAATGTAATAATTGATAAAACAAACAGAAAAACACGCCGCAGAAGAAATCCGAATGAAACCATTCACAGTAGAAATCAATCCTTTTGTGATACGCCACAGAAGGGATCATTTTTTTAAGCCGCCAACAAAAGGAATCCTATGGAAATCCTCCACACGGGGAACCCTATTGTAATCCCGCGCAAAAGGAATGTATTGTAATGCGCCACAAAGACAATCCTTTGGCGGCCAGGAAAAGTTTTTTTTGGTGGGGAGAGGAAAATATAGAAAATTGCATTAACAACAAATATGAGAGGGGAGAGAGGAGAGAGAGAGAGAGAGAGAGAGAGTAGTACTAATAATACTAATAACAAGAATAATAACATGCGACTTTCTCGGGCGGTGGCGGGCAACAAAAGTCATTGCGTTTCTGACCCCGCCCGCTTCCCCCCGACCCCCTTCTCCGCCCCCGCCCGCTTCCTGGCCGCCACAACAGGATTTCCGTCGTGGCGGGTTTCAATAGGATTCTTGTTGTGGGCGATTTCAAAAGGGATGTCTTCTGCGTCGTTTCGCGTTTTTCCTTCGCGCCCCTCCCCGCAGAGAGAGAGAGAGAGAGAGAGAGAGAGAGAGAGAGAGAGAGAGAGAGAGAGAGAGAGAGAGAGAGAGAGAGAGAGAGAGAGAGAGAGAGAGAGAGAGAGAGAGAGAGAGAGAGAGAGAGAGAGAGAGAGAGAGAGAGAGAGAGAGAGAGAGAGAGAGAGAGAGAGAGAGAGAGAGAGAGAGAGAGAGAGAGAGAGAGAGAGAGAGAGAGAGAGAGAGAGAGAGAGAGAGGAGAGAGAGAGAGAGAGAGAGAGAGAGAGAGAGAGAGAGAGAGAGAGAGAGAGAGAGAGAGAGAGAGAGAGAGAGAGAGAGAGAGAGAGAGAGAGAGAGAGAGAGAGAGAGAGAGAGAGGGAAAGAGCGAGAAAAATGAAGAAACCGAGAGAAACAAGTCGGGAACCTCATGAAGCGAAGTCGCCCCAGGAGCCCCGTGGCCCCGTCGGGGGCCCGCGGTCCGCTCACGCGCCAGCGACCCTGAGAGGCGCGTGGCCGCGACGGGGGTCGGCGGACCGCTCGCGCGCCCGCGGCCCGAGCGGGGTCGGCGGACCACTCGCGAGCCCGTGGCCCCGACGGGGTCGGCGCGCTAACACGCCAAGAGAGGCGCGCGACCCCGCGGGGGGGTCGGCGGCCCGCTCACACGCCCGCGGCCTTAAGAGGCCCGCGGCCCCGACTGGGTCGGCGGTCCACTCCCGCGCCAGCGGCTAGCAGGGGGCCGTTGGTTGGTTGGCTGGTTGGCTGGTTGATTGGTTGGCCTGGTGAAATTTTGGCTGGTTGGCTGGTCGTCGAGAGGCAGAATCGACAAAAGGTTGCAGATCCAAGTCAGGTGAGAGCCGAGTTTTGAAATGGAGCCGCCGCGGGCCCTCGTGAGTGTTCTTAGAGCCCCAACATGGTTGCCACGCTGGCCCCGCACTTAATTCTTTTAGATTTTTTGATCGCGAGCCGCACTGGTAGACTGGATATGTGCAAATATGTATACATACACATCTAGTGATGTAAACATATACACACACACACACTCGTTCACACATATGTACATATGTAACCACGCGTGCATGCGCGCACAAACATGTAAACATAGCCAGTTTTGGGTAGATCAGCGCATTCATCCGATATTGAATTGTGTTGGCAAGCGCCGCTCTCCGATTATTGCTCATCTTGGCTGTGACGGCCCGCGCATGTACGGCAATATACCTTCTGAACACTTTCGCAGTGTTGTTCACCCGTATGCTTCAGCTTCGCATGGTTCTCAGGGACCACGTTCTGAACCAGTTCGCAATGTTGCCCCGCATGACACGCATACTTCACATGACTATCAGAGAGCAAAGTGCGCGATCGACTTAATCCAGGCCAGGCAGGAGCTCAACGCCAGCACTACGTACATGTATTGTTGGGACAAGTGGCTTAACAGTATGGAGACGATGGTTCTTGAACAGAGAACAGGCGTGTACCGCCGTCGGTGGGAGCTACGCAACCCCTACGATCCGTACACGCCGACGCCCGAGATTGAGTTACACCGACAGTTGATGATTACTGCACTCAAGGCCCAGGGGGACCACCTGTTTGAAGTAGCGAACAAAATCAAAAAGATTCGGGACATGTTCTTAACTACAGATGGCGCGGTTGCGGGGCCGTGGCCACCCGTTCCAAAATTCCCGAGCAAGTTCCCGAGGCCCTAGAGCACATAAAAAGATACGGCTTCGGACGCGCGCCGCCGCGGCACGCATTTGGCGTGTCGGGTTGACGCGGTTGACGCGTTTGGCGTCGACTGTGGGACTTCGGAGTGTCTCCCGACCTGGTCTACCATAGGGCCTCTCTCCCCCAACGCAGGGTGTACCATAGGGTCTACCATGGGGTCTACCATAGGTCTACCATCGGGTTTACCATAGGGTCCCCAAAGGGTCTACCATAGGGCCCCCAAAGGGCCACCATATAGTCACCAAAGGGCTTCGCCATAGGTCCCCAAATGGTCTCTCCCATAAGGTCTACTATAGGGTTTACCGTGCGGTCCTCATTGGGTCTACCATGGGGTCTACCATACGGCCCCCCCAAGTTGCCCACCAGAGGGTCTACCATAGGGCTACACACTCTTAGTTGCCCCATGGGTTCACGCGTTTATGAGGCCGATGTGAATTCCGCCAGATGCGAGACTCTCACGCGCGGGGCTTGCGGGTGAATGTGGGCGGGTCCTTCGCCAGGGTCATGGCGTTGACGGGTTCGCAGGGCCCTTCGCCAGGGCGCCGCTGGGTTCTTCGCCAGGCTATGGCTGGGTTCTTCGCCAGGCTATGGATGGGTTCTTCGCCAGATTGTTCATTGAGCCCTCCTGGGCAGACTTCAGAGTATCGCAGTACTCACAGTTGCCATGCTGATGCGAATCCTCACCTTGCTCGTAGCCCCTTTTCGATCAAGCTGGTCGCCTCTCGCGAGGCGCGCGGCCCGACTGACTGGGGCGAGCTGCGCGTTCGCCGCCTCTGGCAGGGCGCTCGAGATGCTCGCGGCCATGAACACCGACGAGGCCCGCAGCAATACGAAGCTCGCCCACGGCATTCCACCCGAGATCGTGGATGGGGGCAATCGCTACATCCGTTACGACGCGTCCAAGATGGGCCCGAACACAGCGTGGGCCAACATCGAGGCGTTCCTTCTCAAGCACAGCCTCCTCTGGGAGGAGACCCCAGAGCCAGATGCCATCGCGGTTCACAGCGACAACAGAGGGGGGCTCATGTGTTCAGGAGAGGACGTCGAAGATAAAGGCCGTTCCATCATAGAAGTTGGAGTAAAAGTGCCGCATGGCGCGCTGGCCATGCAGCTGTGTCCCCTGGATGATCCGATGCGGGAGGTCCACGTCGTGAACAACAAGCTGATGATCGAGAGGGCTGGCGGCAAGCTCGCCGAGTGGACGGGGAAGGAGCGGCTGCTGACCCTTGCCACGAGCCACTGCAGCCAGTTCGCGAAGGCCGTGCTGGCGAGGTGCACGACCGACGTCGAGATTCTCCAAGATGCAGGCGGCAGGCTGTCGAGGGCGAAGTTGGAGGAGAGAGACCCGAACATGAAGGCGTTCTTGGATGGCTGGAAATTCAAAGTAATGTCTTGGAAGTGCGAGATTGCGTGGCCTGGTCTCGCACACCTATCGCAGCTAGCCCAGAACACCGATAACAAGGTTGGCAAGGCAATGGGGGAGCTGGAGACCGCCATCGCCATCATGAAATACAACGCGCGCGGCATGTCATGGGACAGCGCCGCTGTTGCTGCGAGCGCGACGTCCGCTGAGGACAAGTCGATCCCAGGGATCCGTGCGATCGCCAAATTCTTTGGCCACGACGCGGGCGCGCCCCTGGTCACCCGCCTGGAGAAGTTCAGGAGCTCGCTGCAGCTGAAGGTGAAGATGGGCGGCCCATATTTGGTGGACATCGCGAACATGGCGTTCAAGGGTCAGAGTTTGAAGAAGTTCCCCTTCGTTCGGTTGGGCTGCATGGCAGTGAACCTTCTCACGCACAAAGTCGAGCATGACATTGGCATGTGCTTCCAGAAGTCCGATCTCACCTGGATCCAGAATCCGACGAACTACGCCGCAGTGGATGCATTCGAGTCGTCGGCGATGCAGTTGGACGAGTGGTTGGAATCGATGGTGGTGGAGGGCCAGCTTGGCGAGAACGATCGGTGTAACATAATGTTTAAGTTCCTCATCCGCAATTGTTTGCACCTGCGTCAGAAGGAGAAGCTCGGCTACGAGAAGAAGGTGTTCAACAACAGCGCCGAGATCCGCAGCGCGGCTGCAAGCGATATTCAGAAAATCACGGGCGGCGTCGGCCATTGCAAGTGGCAGCCTATGGCGGTTACCACGGGAGGCGAGTGTCATCAGCCGAAGGCGGGTGCCCAGCGCACGCCAGCGGCTGCCGCCGACTTGAACTCAGAGGCGAAGGTGCTCGAGAACAAGGGGTTCACCGTCGGGAAGCAGGTGCTCGAGTGCGGGGCTACACCTTTATCGGGCCTCTACGCGATCGCGAAGATCTCGGACGGCAAGGTCGTTCTGGAGAAGGAGACGTTCGGCGGCTTGCAGCGCGCCTTCTCGGTGGAGTTGACGGCGATCGAGTTTGCCCAGAAGTTCAAGGCCGTTGCCGACGCGGCGAAGCTCCCGATCGCGATGTCCACCAGCGCCTCCACGCGTCATGTCCGATCTCGCTCGCACTTCGTCCACGACTGGGCGCGGTGCAGGGCGTGGAGAACCATTTCTTCTGTTGCGATCGGCTCGTGCATCGACGACGGGGCCTGCTTCATCTACATGTGCAACCCGAAGAAGCTGTTCACCAAGCGGGCCTTCGAGCCGAAGCAGCTCCAGATCGTTCCCAGTACGACCCTTGACGGCACCAGGCTCGACGAGAAGATGAAGTGCGTCAACTCGATGGCCTCGATCACCGTGTATCTCGACGACGACGGCGAGGCAGTCGACTTGCACTTCGTGCTCGCAGCGCCGCCCACGTCTTCGGTCAACGAGCCGACGAAGTGGGACGAGAAGGTCACGTTCGAGCCCTACTGGTGGATGGCGTCGACCAGCGACGAGAAGCTTGCGACGGTGACCAAGCAGATGGTGTGCAAGGACGGGGTCGTGTTCCCTACATTCGTCAACAATGAAGCGCTGGGTGCGAACGCGGAGATCATGTACCTCACCCCGAAGAAGGAGAGCGCGCCGAAGACCTCGCTCGAGGAGCGCGCCACGGCCATGCAGGACCGCTGCCCCGTGCCGACGATGAGGAGGAAGCGGTTCAAGCAGGCCCCATGAGCCTCGGCTGGGCTGAGACAGCAGCTTTTTCAGACACTGTTCGGTTCGCTCAGTGCGTACAATCGGTGCGGTTTGATTGTTCAGCGCACGCAAGCGGTGTGGTTTGATTGTTCAGCAAAGCTCAGTGCCACATGAAAGTCAGCAGGCGCGTTTAGTTCATCACAGCTTGCGTGGGAGGGGGGATGCGGGGAAGGAGAGGGAGACTGATGAGGAGAAGTAGGGCAGGGAGGATGAGCATCAGAGCACCCGCACACCCCATGCATTGTTGAAGTTTCGCGTGCCCCCCCACCAGCCCATCCAGAAACAGTCACCAGACGAGTTACCCTGAGCATGGTATTACAGGGGTCTTTGCAGGGTTTAATCTTCGCGTACCCGCGCTAGCCCATCCAGAAACAGTCACCATGCAAGTTACCGTGGCCATGGTATTGCAGAGGTCGTTGTAGGGTTTAAGCTTCGCGCGCCCTCACCAGCCCATCCAGAACCAGTCACCCGACGAGTTGCCCCTGATCGTGGCATTGCAGTGGTATTTGCAGGGCTTTGCAATTGGCGTTGCAGCACATTTCCCATGGCCGTAACAAGTGTGATGGCTCAGGCTTAATCAGTGCACCTCGTCATCGCGACTGTGAGTTTCCGTTCGTGTCAAGTCTTGTGATGGAAGGTCCACCGCCCGCGGAATGCGATGGTGCCGCGAGCCCCAGTCCGCCCGAGACGGTGGCCGAGGAAGATCCGCGGGAGGCGGCATTAGCAGAGCGCCCTGAGTTCGAGGAGGACATCCCCGAGTCCGAGAAGGAGAAGCTCCCCGAGTTCGCGGAGGGGCCCGAGAATGGGAAGTTCAAGATGACCTTGACGCACACCTACACCAACTTCCACAACATCCCTGATAGCGTCGACGTGCGGTCCGTGTTCAGGGACATGATGTCCAAAGCAGGCCGCACAGACTTCGAGGATGATACGCAGAAGGGTGGCGTCAAGCGCAAGATCAGCGTTACTTACGCGTGCGTGGAGACGTGCAGCCCACAGTCTACCCAGCGGGCTCACCCATCGAGTTCATCCAGCGACTGAGGCCCGATCTCGGCTCCAAGTTCCTTGCGCGCGGCGATTGCGCCGCCGACCTCCACTGCGCACATGTCGGTTGTGCGTTTGAAAAGTGATGGTTGTTCCCACGCAAGCAAGCGCGTGTTATTGTTTTCATGTTATCCCCAATGGCTATCGCCAACTTCCGCCGCCCCGCGCTTCCGCGCAGCCCGTCGCCCTTGGATGGCCCGAGGTCGGTTCCTTGGGCCCTCGAGAGGGCCCTTGGTCGGTTCTTTGGGCCCCCTCTCGGGGCTTTCATGCGCGTGCGCGCGGTCGGCCCATGGAGCCCCGCGGCGGAGCCCTCTTTGGTCTTCTCGGGTGCGCCCCAAGACGGCCCATGACAGGCTGCCAGCAAGTGTTTGTTTGAGAGGGCTCCCCAAAAGCGCTTCCCACGGTTGCCCAGGGTATGCCCCGAGAGGTCCAAATGGGGCTCCAGAGAGCCACAGGGCATTCTTGGGCCTTCTTGGGCCCTTCCAAAAGCCTTCAGATGGTCCCAAGAGGGCCCCAGGAGGGTCCCAAGAGGGCCCCAAGAGGGCCCCGAGAAGGAGATCAAGTTTTTATTATTCCACATAACGCGCGTTATGTGGCTGGGTGGGTGGGTGGGGTCGCTGGCACATAACATAACACAGCCGCGCCCGGCCGCTCGAATGGCTGTATGCACACATTCTGATGCAGCAGCCTATGCGCGCACCACATCGCGCGTGTACACCACAGTGCATGGCGCATGGCAGTGATCACTAAACCACAGAAACTGCGTATACGACTGTACACGCGCCATACCATTTTTTTTTCACACCCTTTGCTGCGCCCACAGCAGCACGTTCCGCGCGCACAACGCAGTCGCGCCTGGCCGCTCGAATGCTGATTGTGCTGGAAGGACTGCCCTTTGTTGCTATTGGTCATAGCACTCATGCAACGAAAGGACCTAGCAGCTGCGAGTGCTACACAGCGCCGCAATGCCCACGAACACCACGCATGCTGATGCAGCAACCTACGCGCGCACAACATCGTCAGCGTACGTCGCAACGCACGGGTGCACAACAGCGCCTGTGTATACAGCTGTCAACGTGCACACCACCTGTAGTACGCCAGCGAAAAAATCGCTTGCGACCCGACAGCCACGACGCGCCTATGTCAAGCGCTACAATAGTTTGCGGTCCGATCAACGCGACGTGCCCGTAAACGGCACAATGCTTTTGACGAGCGCAGCGTCTGTGAAAACCACAGCGCTTGTGAACACCAAAGCGCCTGTCAACGTAGCGCCTGCGAACGCCACAGCGCCCGTGAA